GCAGGAGAATACAAGAAACAGCCTTCAGCTTTTTCTTTTTTTTAATTCAAGGGTTCCTCTTTCTTAGAAGTAGGTAGCAGACGAGCAATTTTATTCAAAAATGCAGCACTCTGTTTATGGTTTGCTAAGCTGCTTGTCGTCCACAGATGTTGACTAGCAGAGGAGAGCAGCTTGACAGCTCATGTAATGCATCTCTTTCTAACACTCAAAGTGGAAACAAGGCAATATAAAATCCCAAGGCGGGCTTTTTCCCCAACACTGCAATTCTTGGAAAGTTTTCACAAACCACTCTGACCATTCCATTTTTAAACATACCCATAAAAGTGTCCCACTGGCAGAGACTTTACCTTCTCAAACAGCTTCAGCTGACAGGACTACCTATTATATAACAGCTTTAAACTGCCGGGTGATTTGTGTGTCAATTTACCCTTTTCTATGCGCGAAGATGCACACTCGATGCTGTTTCAGCTTACGGATGGTTGACATAAACAGATGTTAAGGATGTTCGGGCACTACCATTTGCGAGTCACATGTGAGAGTTTGAGAACAGACCAATTTGTGCTTCTGTACTCACATGCAACATTGAATGCCTCATCAGATTTTACGCATTTGGGTATGTTGTTGCTAGTGCATTTTTAATAAGAGAACAGTCTCTTACAGAGACTTTACCCTCCCCTATGCTATCTGACTCAGTAAGGACATACTACTGTGTGTATCCTTACACTACATGGGGTCTTACCATGGGCTATGTTCTCTCCCATTTACCAACAAAATACAAGCAGAAATTGCTATTTTAAAATCAAAAAGGATATGTATCTGTTGCAAATGTGAGCAATTAGCATAGACTGCAGCTCTGTTTAAGTTCTCTCTATTTGAAACCAGAGGCTGCATGTACAGTATATGGTTTTTGATGTGTGTGTAATTGTGTGTTCTACAGTACTTCATTCTGTGTCTTTGTTTTTCTCTTGAACATACCTTCATACAGTTCTCTCACTATTGTGTGAATTTGTAGCTGGCCAATATCACTCTTGCCAATGTTTGTTAGATATAAAAAAATTGTGTAAAACAGGGCCAATCAATTAATATAGAAAAATATCTGCAGAATAATCAATAATACAAATATTAGTTCAAGCACTACACATTACCCCCGAACTTGTAGTATTGGTGGTGCTGGTTCGCAATTATTCTAACGGCCTGTCCACACACAGGCATGAACAAAATCTTGAAAAATCTTGATGCTGGGCGTGTCTGAAGCTTGGCGATTTTTTGCGACCAACAACCAATCACATGAATCTCCCGCCTCCGACATACGAAGCAATAGCAATGTTAAAACGAAGTAAACTGGATATAAAATATGAAAACAAGTTGTTTCTCAGAATTGAAGGGGAAAAACACAAAAGCATTGTACACAATTTAAACCTATCAATGTCATTTAATTAACAAAGGTAATCTGGTGTTTTTGAGTTGATGAGTCACATTGCATTTAAGAGCTGCCGAAATAAACGGATGCCGTGCTTCCATGAGCGTCAAANTCTCCACTACTCATCAACTCAAAAACACCAGATTACCTTTGTTTACTTAAACGACATTGATAGGTTTAAATTGTGTACAAGGTACACAAGGTTTGTCGCAAAGCGGACAGGCGTCGTCACAACAATAGCTGGGGATTGTGGGTAGTGTAGTCTCTTTGGCGCTCCACATTTCAGAGAAAACAAGTTGTTTCTCAGAATTGAAGGGGAAAAACACAAAAGCATTGTACACAATTTAAACCTATCAATGTCTTTTAATAAACAAAGGTAATCTTGTGGTTTTGAGTTAATGAGTAGTGGAGATACCACTGTCAAATCAATCGACAGCAAGGAGAATACTTACTTCCGGGTGTACAATTCTCCGTTATCCAATGGGAATGAATCACATTGCATTTAAGAGCTGCCGAAATAAACGGATGCCGTGCTTCCATGAGCGTCAAATACCGCCGCCGATGGGAATACATTGCAATCAGTTGGAAGCTCTTTGCATCTGTTTATGAAGCTGAAGGAGCCTCGGCGCGTCCAACTGCACGCCACGTCACCCTGACCAAGCGTCGCTCCTGGACGTTTAGGGAGTGAGAGTGTGTTGCTTAAAGAGGCCCTATTTTGCTTTTTGGGGTCCATTTAACATCACTGTAGTGTGTTATTTAGGTTGTTGTGCATGTAAATGGTCTGCAAAGGCTACAATCCCTCAGTTATCTCCCTCACTCTCAAAATACCTTTTGAGCATTAATGTAAACATGTCACAGTAAAGGCACTAAACACTAATATGAACCTGTAAATTAGCATAATAGGGCTCCTTTAATTTCCAACCTTATCATCCAACTCTCAGCCAGAAAGCAATTCACCCTAATTCCCAAGTGGAACTTTAAATGTACTTGGTAAATGAAGGTAAAGCAAAAATTAACCCTCCTCCTCTTTTTCTTCCTCTTCTTCCAAATAAGTCAGAATCTTTTTTTAAATCACGCCATCTTACCCCCTCACAATGAGTCGGTAACTACAACGTGTAGCGACTCACATTATCTAAGTTGGATTTTCAGCTCGACTATATACGCACGCTAACTTTCTTGATGAGAATTCAGGTTGTCCTTACACATTTTACCCCCTCCTAAACATGTATGGACTCATCACAAGATGGACTCACTCAGACGGCTTTAATGAAGCGAATATTTTCCAGACAACTTGTTCCTGCTTTGTCCTCATGAAGCAAAGTAGCACTCACATCACTAACTTTGAACGTCCTGTAATGTTGCACGCCATCGTTCAGCTGTATTTTTGTATGTCATCCCTTGTGTCCGCTGGCTGGCAGTGTAGTGTGGATATTGCAGAGTTGAGGGTGGGGGGGACGAGGTGGGATTCAACCAACAGTGAGCACCACATAAAGCCTTTATCACACCTAAACGGCTCCGTCTCCCAACGCCAGAGTGAGATAAGCACTGCTCATTCATCTGTAATGATGTGGAAGCAAGAACCAACTGAAGTGAGTTGAGAAGGAAAGGCTAACTCTGGCACAGTGGGGATGGTGGAAAAGGTTGCAGGGCAAATGAGGTTTGCCTTATTCACTTCTCAAAAGATACTTGTGGATATTGTGTTTTCTGGGAATTCAAGTTCATTACAAGATGAGTGTTGTTTTACACTTGAAAGGACTGTGATTATCTGCAAGATGAAAAGTGAATCGGGGCTCACATTATATCACGTTTCCCTTGGACTAAAAATGTAATTTCTGCAAACAGGCCAAATATTCTTAAAAACTAAAACCTGTTTTCACGTGCTTATTATAAGCTCATGATTTCAAGTAATAATTGCAAAGCCTACAACTTTGAGTTATTCATAGTTGGACATATTCTAAAGTTAACTTCTTAGTTGGCAATAGATATTTCCAATATTTCAGGTAGCATGAAAGTAAACTCTCCGATTTTCATGTAAATGTCCAATCATTTTTAATAGTAAATATACTAAATTCAAGCAATACATTCCTCAGTGTGTGCATTGTTTTATATATGTAGGCTAGCAGGATGCATAGTGCAATACAGTCAAATACCCAACTCAGATAGAACACTGTAGAATATATGCTTGTCCAAGATTTTCTTCAATTATATTTTAAGATGCCATTTTAATTGTGATTTATTGAAATGTAGCTAGTTTACAATACAAGCAAAGGGAACAAAGAAGTCATGTCCTTGAACGCATCTAGAGTTACCCTGGCTACCAAGGGGTGGAGAACATGAATAGCTCTTTCTTGCATCCAACTGTGTCACTGTCAGGTCAAATGACAGCGCTGGATGCAAGAACAACAGATGTTAAATCTGCAAACTCGGCTTTCTCCATCAATAAAGAAGGATTGTCATAATCGACTACATTTACCATAAACACTGATTGGATATCCACATAAAAGGTGGTAATTTTCCCTTTAAGGAACATTTAAATGAAACCAATGAACTACTAATTACATTTATTGCTAAACCTACCATACTGCCTTTGGCATGTTCATGTTCAAACTTACAAATCTGAGTTCATCTGCAAATTTGCACATATTTTTTGGGAGGCGTTATAGAAGCCACTTCTTTAGATTTGAGGTAAACGGTTATTCGCATATTTAGCGAGGACGTGAAATTTGACAGAAGTTGATTTTGAGACACAGTTGTGGAATGCACTCTAGACACTGATCCTAGAAAGAGCCTTTAGGAAATTGAGAGTGACCCAATTGGCCAACAGCAAGCTACAACTATCAGGTAAAGTGGTGATAAAATGCAGCCTACAAAAACTGTGTGAAGATTGATAATACAATCAGATGGCAGAAAGGACCATTTATGTATAGAGAAAAAACAATAACTGGATGTACATGACTCTCTTTGGTAGCTGTAGGTTAAGAATCAATGCTCAAGTTGCATAGCATAAAAACAGGTGCATTAATAGTGGCCAGATATGAGTACTCTGGAAAGACACCAATGGTAAATGTAATTGTACTAATTTAAACACAGAAAATGCAATATAGTGGCATAAGTTCTGGTATACTCCTTTTTTAAACATCATTTCCTCTGCACTAGTGATTGTTTATCTTTCTTTGCTTCATTTTCTTGGTTCTGTGCAAAAAGATTACTTAGTTGGCTTCTTTGTAGATTTGTCATGCATTTAAGGGTAATACCGTCAGTTCTTAGATTCTTACTAACACCAACTTTTTCCGGTCAAATTATTATCTTTAAGACGACTAAATCACATGACTTAACGCATATAATCACCATCTTGTGGTAGACAGAATAGCAAACTTTAGGCTCAGGGTAATATAAATGTACTACATCTGCAGCCAAGTGTCATTATTCCCTCTTTTTTTGAGCTAACAGACACTTCATCTTGATTTAAATCATCTTAGCTATATTGTCCTCTTGTGCCTTTTAAAACACACCGAGGGGACTTAAAGAGCAGACCAATTCTCACACACACTGACTCAAACCTGCTGTCTGTGTCTTCCAGGTGTAATTGGCTTCCTGACTGCAGCTCTGGACCCATCAGGAGTTCCAAAGACGAAGGCGGATGAGACCACAGAGTCTACCTGAGAATGATACCTGTCACCCTAGGAAAACCGTTGACCTGTCCCCTTCCACATATCCTATTTTTGCCTTTATTTCCCATCACCCACTGATTTTGTGATCCCTTTCCACACCCAACTTAACTCCTATTGATATGACTAAAAGAGCCTTTATTTTGGACATGTTGTTTTTTCCTCTCAATGCTGCCAGCCACCAAGGCTATGGTGGGAAGCGTCACTTTAGTTCTCAGCGGGTCGCCAATCACTGCCTGCTGTGGCTCTTGGGACTGGTGCTTCACCTCACCCTTTCCTCATGTCAACGGGTTGACCTGAAATACCCCATAGTGTCCACAGGCTATGGAAAGATCCGTGGTATCAGGAAGGAGCTCAACAATGAGATCTTGGGCCCTGTGGAACAGTTCTTAGGTGTGCCATACGCCACCGCACCCGTCGGTGAGCGCCGCTTTCAGCCTCCTGAAGCTCCAGGCTCATGGCAAGAGATTCGCAATGCCACCCAATTTGCACCAGTCTGTCCCCAGAATGTCCACGGGGTTTTACCTGAGATCATGCTACCAGTGTGGTTCACAGACAACCTGGATGCTGCAGCGACCTACGTTCAGAACCAGAGCGAGGATTGCCTTTACCTCAACATCTATGTACCCACTGAAGATGGTGAGTTGTTTTGTTTGACACATATTTGTATTGGCATTTATTTTTCCCAGCAGGAGAGATTTCATAAATGTATACTCCCTCAAAAAAGAAAAAAAAAACATAAATAAAAAAGTTACAAAAACTGAGAAATACACATTTTTGTAGTATAAAATAGTAGTGTATATAATAACTTAAAACATATAAATTAAAACATTACAAATAAAAAAAAATTAAATGGGCAAGGTTGCCTTTATTTTTATTTCAAAAAAAGAATTTCCCCTATATTTGATAGAAGGTATCAGGCTTTTCTTTAAGTTTGATTTTACTAAAGCCTGCGTCACACTGTCCCGAAATTGACACCAGATTGACACACGATTATGGAATTGTGAATTTCGCACGAAGATGTCCCCGAGCTTGGTCAACAGCCAAGCAACAGCCGAAGCAAGTACGATGCCTACAGAAGGCCACACGATGGCACCCGAACCACACACTCCTTCATGTTGTTTCCATAGCAACAACAACTTCCTGTCAACAGCGTAAACTTGCCTTCAAAGCATCTAAATAAAACAGGAAGTTAACCTAAATTACATTTAAGACATACAACTGCAACGAAAGTAACAAAAACAATGTAATATCCTTTTCAGTTTCACAGAACACAAATTGTACTATAATACGATGGCTACACAACGGCATTGCGAGGGCTTCAAGTAGTCGTGTTGCCTTCCTAAGACAATCGGGCAGCTTCTTGTTTCCTTCGTATTGTCTTCGTTTGGCGAAAAATGCCCGATGGCACAGATGATCACACGAAGATGACACGATTTGACGAGATGGCCTTACGAAGGGCAAAATGCACACACATATTTAACACGAAAATGAACCATCGCCCGGTCTTTCGGCAATTTTTTGGCATTCCAAAGATTTTGCCACCGCTCATGAAGTTGTTGCTGGAGCCTGAGAAACTCCACCGGCGGTCATACGATGGCTTAAGATGCCCTCATGAATGGCCCAATGTTTTCACGATCAGAGCCGAATTTGAACATTTCCTTTATCGTGTGTCCATCTGGTGTCAATTTCGGGACAGTGTGACGCGGGCTTAAGGCCATACAATTAGAGATTTTTTTTCACCAGTGACTGATTGAGAGTTTTTCTGGGTTTTTCCAAAAGACAGATATTGTTTAGCTTGAAGAAGAGAAAAAACAAAACGACACAATTCTTGGTGTTATTAAGTATTGGAATCACAGGAAAAATGAAAAAATACAGAGTATTTGGAATTCTTGTAATTTTGCTAAAACTATTTTTAGAACATGGAAGATGGTAAATTCGACTAAACTCCCATGCTAGCTATAGAAGGATATACTGTAAAGTCAGTCTTGGAGTTACAAACTTTGCATTTTAATGGGGCAGAACAAGAAGAGAGTAGGCCTGAAACAATTGGTTTGAGTGTAAGAACACCTTGTACTTCTCTAACTGTATTCTAATTTCATATTTCTGTCAGTGTTCCAGGACTCACAGGAATAGTGCCATTCTGATCAGTTAACCAGGATTATATCCAGTGAAAGGAGAGCTCAGGATATTACCAGATCTGATAATGTCCTGTTCTGTAATAATGTCAGTCTTAATTAGTATTGTTTTCTCCATTACTATTGATAACAGTTAATAGTTTCCTAGATATATATAATTACGGCATGGTAACATTTATAATCTTTCTTGTGCTAATACTCTTCTGTGCAATTAGATACACTTTACATTTATTTTCTCATATTTAATTAATCCTAGCATTTGATGAATATATTAAAAAAAACTAGCTGCTTTTTGGGACAATTAGCCACACTGTGACATGCTAGGTTTTAGCTTGATAGACATTAACTTGCTTAAATCATGTATGAACATAACATCTAAAATACTAGCTGCGGTGGCTCGCTAAGTTGTTTTGTTCTCAAGTGAGTCCATATTTAATTATATTACCTAATTTAATTTAAGTCAGTGTTATCTAGAAAGCCGCTAGACTAGAATAAATACTTAGCATTACAAAAGCTAACATAAAGTTGACACTAATACTTTTTAGAAGGTTAGTACGCTACTGTAATTTGAATGTTGCCTAGTTTCATATCAACATTTTTTAACAGAATTTTCCCTCAAATGTTTTTTTCAATCCATACACCATTTGTGACATGAGAAAAAAAAAGAAAAAAACATTTCAAACCAACAAGCGTGTGCAGCCAAAAGCAGCCTATATGCAGTAAACATGCTAGCAGGTTAGCTCATTAACTCCATGCTAGCTTGGCATCCATTGTCGGTCATGTGAACTTCACCTTGCCAGCCATTGGTGTCAGTTTGAGAGTATATTAAAAAGGCATTGCGTAAAGAACAACAAGTAAGCTGGAATAACCACCATATTTTAATCATTTCAGTACAGAAAGACTAACATTCACTTTATTAATACTGTAAATGACCATTTTGGAAGAGGCTTTATTACCCTCCCTTTAGGTTTGTATTGCTTGGAAGCTGCACTGTGGATTCTGTGGTCAAGCTTTAATTATTGTTGTAGCATCTAGTTCAGGAGAAAATATAACAATTACAATATGTTGCTAAAGAAAACCTTGTTTGTTCTACCTCCTGGCGCAGAATTAGCCAAAATCCCTGTAATGCAAAACCTCCACCTCTTCATGGGCTACCTGGGTGTTCTTCTTGTATTAATGATCCAGTGGAGAGTGGTTCAGAAAGCAGATTGGCAGGTTAAAGAACACAGGATCAAAGTGTATGTCTTGCTGCAAAGCGTATGTATCACAGAAGCAACGGCTCAGGATAAAATGTAAAAATATCTATCATTAATGGGCTCACCTGAGAGTTGCGTGAGTGAGCGCAAGAGAACACATGTTCATGCATTGCTGCTCGTAGGAAGTCTAACTCTATGGTTAGTCCAGTGATGCACAGCATTGTTGTATTCTAACGCTAAAGCTGTAACCTACTTAGATTGAGTCAATGTTGCAGATTTTTATTTTGTTGATGAATACTCTATGGCCCAACAAAAAGATGGAATCAGATACATTTCTAGTAGAGAATATCAAGTATTACAGTAGCATAAAGGGAGACCAGAGCAGAAACAAAGAAACTAGGAAAAGGGACTGAATATAAAGTTATTTTAACTACTCTCAACGGTGGAAAGTGTTCAAACATGGGTATATTTAGTGCCCTGCGGTCACAGTGTGTATGTTGTACAATATGTCACATACTCACCTAGAGGCTGGTGTTGAGTCTCCTGTGCTATTCCCAGGGGACAAGGTGTGCAAATGAGTGAGACTGATTTAACATGTAGCCCTGTCTGCTTGTCAGAATCTGTCACTTATTGTCAGGGGTCACTGCTTACACAAGGCTGATGCTGTCCCCAAGGATATGTTTTGCCCTGTGTGTGAGAGAGAAATGGAGACTGAAGGAGACTTAAGTGCCCCTGAAATTCAAACACACCACATCTTGAACGTCACAGGCGCACAAATAGTTTACAAATCGTCAAAAGTACCAGCTTTAATGCCCCTATGTTGTATTGGAATTTTGAGGTAACATCTAGTTGTCATCGCTTTTCTGATACTACTACATAAGAAAAGTGAACTTGTGTTTTGCCAATACATTTATTTCAATGTGAAGCTTCAGCTGTAGGAATTGTTCAGCTTGCATAAACTTATTTTTTTCGGAATATCATCATAGACTCCAAGTTGGTATGCTGAAAAATATGAATATATCAATACAATTATCAATCACTTTTGTGTTACATCATTTGGTGATAAATAGTGACTTAACAGCTAGTACTGAATTCATATGAAAAATATTCAATATCCATCCATCCATCCATCCATCTTCTCCCGCTTATCCGTGGTCGGGTCGCGGAGGTAGCAGTTCCAGCAGAGAGCCCCAAACTTTCTTTTCCCTGGCCACATCAACCAGCTCTGACTGGGGGATCCCAAGGCGCTCCCAGGCCAGCGAAGAGATATAATCCCTCCATCTGGTTCTAGGTCTACCCCTTGGTCTCTTCCCAGCTGGACGTGCCTGGAACACCTCCCTAGGGAGGCGCCCAGGTGGCATCCTAACTAGGTGCCCGAACCACCTCAACTGGCTCCTTTCGACGCGAAGGAGGAGCGGCTCAACTCCGAGTCCCTCCCTGATGACCGAACTTCTCACCTTATCCCTAAGGGAGACACCAGCCACCCTGCGGAGAAAACCCATCTCGGCCGCTTGTACCCGCGATCTCGTTCTTTCGGTCATGACCCATCCTTCATGACCATAGGTGAGGGTAGGAACGAAAATGGCGCGGTAGACAGAGAGCTTTGCCTTCTGGCTCAGCTCCCTTTTCGTCACAACGGTGCGGTAAAGAGACTGCAGTACCGCTCCCGCTGCTCCGATTCTCCGACCCATCTCACGCTCCATTGTTCCCTCACTCGAGAACAAGACCCCGAGATACTTGAACTCCTTCACTTGGGGTAAGGACTCATTCCCTACTGGGTGCTGACCGGGACAGGTGG